AAATCAAAATAACGGCGCCGTGGGTGGAAATTGACAGATTAAGGGGCGGTAATATTATAATGAGATCCCTTTGCCACGTCACCAAGGGAGCCAAATCAGATGCGCTCGTTTTCTCAGACGCTTGCAGAAAAAGGCTTACCAAAACAAAGTTACTGGGTTAATCATTTTCACGTTTCCTTGGTTGGTAGGTGCACCGGGGACCTATTATAGCACTTAAAACCTGGAAAAGTCAGATTTTCACGATATGTCACCTTTAAGATTTGAAAATCGTCTAGTGTGTCCTAGGGCTAAGTTAGGTTTTCCCCTTTTGTAGTTTTGTAGAATTCCTTTAAATTCTCACTAAAAAGTAGGATGTGCCACAAACAAACTACAAAGACCCTTTAGGTTTTTGTAAAAGATCTTAAAAAGCTCAATTGTTTTTCACAGGTAGTTCGCAGGAGGTTGTGATCATATATATTTTCAGAAGTCTGCCCTTCATCTGTCTGCTGGTGGTGTTCTTTTACCTAAACAGGGACAAAAAACAAGTCACAGCATCAAGACCAGGTTACTGTTCAACATATCCAACACAAACTTCACAACATAGTTTAGCTGTTTGTTTAGCCTGTAACCAAACAAACCAGCTCTGTAATGAAGAATTTGATTCAAACTTACATCATTTGATCTGAAACAAAAATATAACTGATAAAGATACAAGACTGAATGCTTAACACCTTTCACAAGACCAGTATCACATGTATCCTAAAAAGATAGAATCCCAGAATTCCAGAATGCATTGCTACAATGATTTAAAAAAAATCCAAGATGATGCAATAATGCACAAAAGATGATTTAATTAATGCAAAAACTATCAATAAAGATAGTCACTATTTTACAACCTCTGAGTTCTTATCTTGAAAGGTTTACAGTCAATTATAAATACATTTAATTACAGAGATCTTTAATAGGATTTTTTTTTTCTAAACACTTGACAGAATATTCAGATTTTTAAAACGGCAGCAGTGGTGTATGAATTTGTGGTCAGAGGTCAGTGTCTAACAACATATCAGTTTGTTTTCATGCATGAGCACCTATTGACTATTTTTGTCTCTTTGTTATGACAAAGTGTGGTAAGCAAAGTTAAATAATGGGTTTGTACCACAGTTAAGAATATTCACCCAAAAATGAAAAATTTGCTGAAAATGTGCTCATCCTCAGGCCATCAAAGATGTAGATGTGTTTCTTCATCAGAAGAGATTTGGAGAAATTTAGCATTGCATCGAATGGGTGCCGTCTGAATGAGAGTCTAAACAGCTGATAAAAACATCGCAATAATCCACAAGTAATCCACATGACTCCAGACCAACAATTAATGTCTTGTAAAGTGAAAAGCTGCATGTTTGTAAGACATAAATCCAGTATTAAGGCACTTGAACTTTAAACTGTTGCTTCGGGCCAACATACAAGTCCATAATCCATAATAATGCTTCCACCAGTGAAAAAGTCCATCACCTGTTGTCTTCTCACATCAAAATCCACCGATACATTTGTTTATAACTGTTTTGGACTGTTTTCACTTGTAAACGGTGCTTGATCTGTGCAGACTTATTCACTGGAGAAATCATTATTATGGATAGAGGACTTTATGGATAGAAGTAAAAATGTCTTAATGATAGATTTATTTGTTACAAACATGAAGCTTTTCACTTCACAAGTCATTAATTGATGGACTGAAGTGGTGTGGATTATTTGTGGATTATTGTGATGTTTTTATCAGATGTTTGGACTCTCATTCTGACGGCACCCATTCACTGCAGAGGATCCACTGGTGAGCAGTCACTACATCTTGGATTGCCTGAGGGTGAGTACATTTTCAGCAAATTTTCTTTTTTTGGCAAACTGTTCCTTTAAAGTAAAAGTTAAAGGCACAATATGTAATTTTTGCCGCTAGAGGGCTCGTATTCAAAATAAACAAATAGACAAAGGCGTAGTTAGATGACGCAGTGACTGAGTGTGGAATCATGGGAGTTGTCGTCTTCATCTCCACAGCCGATGCAATCTGACGGGACTCGGGCAGAAATCATGATCATGGATGAGCTAATGATTTATTAATGTAATAGAATGAAGCAGGGTGAGGCTGAAAGCCGTCGAAGCGAAACGAGGCCGCTGAACGAGCGCGACACACGGCTCGAAAGCAGCAGAGCTTTTATGCCACAGTTGACCGCTTCCGCTCCTTCCGGTCGTGCGTATGTGGGTTAAAAAAGCAGCGCATTTGAAAGTTCTGTTATTATGCTACTCTGTGCGGTTGTCACCGGTCTAATAAAACGCACAACATATTAAAGCGTCTTTGGTGTTTCCATGTTTTCTACAAAACAAAACCGGAAATCGAGGGGTTATGACGTCATTGGCAGGCGACACAATGACACTATGGACACGGTCCGTGTCACTAGTTAAAATTGCTTATTTCTCTGGATTTAAACATTCTTCGAAACATTTGGGATAATGTAAGTACACAAGTCAGCAAAATATATAACACTGTTCTAGTGGTTTTTGGATATTTTAATTAAAAAATCTTACATATTGTGCCTTTAATACCCTTAGATGTTAGTGAGATCTTGCTGATTTCTTTCTTTCTTTCTTTCTTTCTTTCTTTTCAATCTAAAGCAGTTGAGCATGCTGTAGAATCAGAAAGACCGGATGAAGACCTGGAGGCCGGAGAGACACAGAGGAGTGAAACTGAAGAGGCGAAAAAGGGTGACAATGTTTCTGAACAGGAGAAAAAGAGGGTCAATAATGAGAAACCTGAAGTTACTGCTGCAACAGAAGAAGAAGAAGATGAAGAAAAACAGATCGATGTAGTTGTAGACACTGAACAAGGTACATCTCCAATGCATGACAATGAAAAAAACAAGACTGAATCTGTTCTGAACACTGACGAAAAGACACATCTAATGACTGATGCTGAAGAAGTGACTGTTTCTGTGCTGGGCGGCTTTGGTTCAGCTCTGTGAGACACACAGGAAATGGAGTCATGGGTGTGTTGTTCAGGTCTATGATGCCACTTCCTGCATGATTGCTTGTTTGCAGACTCATAATGGTTTGCAATGATTTACACTGAATTCTGAAAGTAGATGAAATATAATATGTCTTGTGCATGCATGAATCTTTCTGTTTGATTGTGTGTATTGTGGGATTGTGTATATGGTTGTGTTCAGTGTGTCTTGGGTGAATCGAATGTGAGATCAGTGTTGTGGTTTACTGTGGGCTTCGCTGTGATAAAATTAGTTAAGTGGGGAGGGGGTGAGATTCTGAGAGTACGAGTGTCTCATGCGTGTGAAAGGTTGTGATGTGGGAGTAAAGCAGAGTTCAGATTCTCAGCAGATGCTCAGAAATGAAGTGTTCCTCCAGACTCCTGTGTGGGCTCCTCGTGTCATGCCTTTGTTTCAGAGGTAAGTGCCACTCGAAACTCCTTCCCCAATGGAAAACCAGCACAGATGCTCCAGGATACTGTTCTGTATAGTACAAAATAAAATAAATCAACTGTCTGTAGAGCTGTGAGAGGATGCTGCCTTTCTGTATTCATCAGGAGACATTTTTGTAGCATTTTGGACTATTTTAATAAATACTTGTGAAGAGTTGTCTAGTTGTATAATTAGAGTATATGGTCATTTTTTCTGCCATGTTGTTGATCGCTTAGAAAAAAAAAATTCTTCTTCATTATTCCTTTGTTGTTGATATTTAAACATGTTTTATAAGGTAGAGCTGTATAAGAAATTAAAAGGTACTACTGCTAAGGAAGGTGGAAGAATTGAACATATAAATTGCTGTAAAACATTTTTTTAAACTAGCTAAGTCACTCAGTAACATTTGTAGGCATGAACACAACATACTGTGAACAACAAGCGGTCCAATTTGAGTTGATTAGATCGATGTGATCTGTAAGAGCTTTTATATATATATATATATATATATATATATATATGAGATAGACTTTGTGGTCTTTATTTGTTTTTCACAATTATCACCCATTATTTTTGACATTGTTCTTTTCTTTTTTCCCACCTTGATGTGGTTTTATTTCAAATTCTCACCAGTGGTTTTGCACCATCGTGATGGGCTTCTTTTTTTTTTTTTTTCTTAAGAGATATTTCCTTATAGTGGGTCTTAACTAACTTCACAAAATAAACATTATAAAATTCTCAATAACAGATATTATTGAATCTTTAATATTTTTATGAATTAAAAAATAAATTATAATTTTTACATATGATATTTATGTATTTCTTGTTTATTCTACAAGGTTAAATGCACTGTTAATCCTTAAAAATAGGGCACGATATAATAAAGGAATTTTCCGTATTTATTTTTTACAGGTGCATGTTTTACCTGTATTTTAAATTTTGCACTTCATTGTGTTATGTTTTAGCGTTAACGGAAATGTCTGTAAAATTGCCAGGTTTTTTTTGTTTTCAATACTAACAGTTTAAGTAACAGAAAAGTCCTCAAAGCCACAAGATAATACAACAAAACGTTCATGTGTTTTGTGTGTTTATGCTTTTCTCACAGGTTCAAGTGAGAGTCTGTCTGTGATTCAGAGTCCATCCAGCATCACTGTGAATGAAGGAGAATCTACTCACATCAGCTGCTGCTGGAATGAAATAACACAGAAAGTTAAAGTTGCTTGGTACATCAATGAGAAAAAACACACCGGAGTAAAGCAGGTACTCCAAGAGCATAAAACACAGAACTGTTCAATTCTGAATCTCACAAACATACTTAAAAACGCTTCAGGTCATTATGTTTGTGAAGTGACTCAAGACATACCAGTCCTGCTTGAGAAGAATGGTAGTGCAACAGTCATAACTGTCAATGACAGAGATAACAAAACAGTGACTGGTAAGATTCTTCCTACACAAAATAATTTTTACTACAAATCCCAATACAATAAAAAAAAAAACTAAAATACCACCATTATTAAAATCATACAATATAATTTCAGTTCAACTAATTCAGTCTATTTCTTCTGTTGAAGTTTCTGACCCGCCTCAAACTACCCAGACTGCACACAGTTCACCAGCACCAGACACTTCACCTCCCTTTCTGCCTTTGTCTCTGGCTGCTGCCATCAGCCTGCTGACCCTCTGCTTGGCCTTCAGTGTGTGCAAGATGAGGAACTCCTGTAAAAAATCAGGTACACTTCAATACTGAGACTCATTACTGGTGTGTTTGTGCTGCCGCATTGTTTTCATCATCTGTGGTATTGCTGTACTGTACTTATGTTTTCCTGCAAAGCTTAGACTCATTAAAAGTTCATTACGAATTATAATGCTTTTTACACCAATTATACCCAGTTCAATGTGTATAGTTCAATAGCCAGTGTGTCTATTTATTGTTCATTCACGGATTGGACGAATTGGACATTTTCTTCAGCTGACTAAACAACAGCACCACTCAAAAAAAACAACAACCTTACACTGACTAACAGTACAGTGAATGATGCAAGTGCATGTAATATGAAAAATAATGTAGCCTATGTCACAAAGTTGCTGTGTGAGCAGGTCTTTTATGTCAAAACTTGTCAGATTTTGTAGCGGTGTGGCCCCCCGCACAGGAAGTGCAACTGTTGAGCTTATTCAAACACACATTTAAAATTACTTTTTAAAAGTAGTAGTTATTATTCTAAATAAAATTTAACATTTTTTTAAATTACTATTACTATTAATAGTAGTTACTATTAATTACAAAAATTCCAAAACATTACTTTTAAAAATTATTTAATTTTTATATTATATAAAAATATATTTTCAAATATTTGTATATATATGTATTAATATAAAATATATACATTTTATTTGACTTAAATAATATTTTGTTTTTGAAAAAAAAAAAGTGTTACATTGTTACTTTTTGCAGACATGCATTACTAAAACCGGTCTCAAATGATGGGCTGCAATTAGTACATTCTGAATGGATCACGAACAGCAAGAAAATCAATGTTTTTCTTATTTTTCATATTTTGCCATTCGGTATTATGGTTAATATTAATACAATACAAGACCAGTGTTTGGTTGGTAAAACACTTCAGCTGTTTATGCATTTACAAAATGGTTTTCCTATTCTGAAAATGTCATATTAATCATTTTCATATTGTTGGCCTGTGCAGTGTGTATTAATATTAATTTTAAAATTAATATATTATACTATTTACATATATAATTTTACATAATATATTTCTACAATATTCCATGTAAAATCTGGTTTCTGAAGCAGAGCCATTGCTTGAGTTACTTGCATTACTATTTCAGTTGGCTGAGGCTCTCTCGCACACTCTTGCAGGTGTTTTTTTTTCATTTGTGGTAAAGTGGGATTTTTTTTTTTTTTTGCTGTATACAGTTTTTTTGTCATCTGGACATAGCTTGCATGCAATGACTTTAACACCTCTGTATATAAGCAATGCTACTTATAGTATAGACAGCTTTGTTGGTTTATAATGGGAACAGTATATTTTTGTTGTGTCACAATGCCCGCTTGCAGTGTAGACATGGTGTCATGCACACTGCATAGACTTATGTGGCTTGTTGGGCAGGGCGAGTTGTTTGGTTCTATGTGTCAGTAAATAAATAAACAATAGAAAGTGCATTGCTTTTTTTGGGAAAGGTTTGAGAGGCATACCTGTTACTTCTGATTTAAAAAATGCAATCAGTAATGGAGATGAGAGCAGTCTGGTATTCATTTGACCTGCACAAACATAGATTTACTAGATCAAAAATTCTATAATAACATAAAGCTGGTTTGAAAGGTTATGTATGGTTTTGAATTGTCATCATAGATATTTGGATGTAGCCATAAATCTCAATGTCTGTATCTCACCTCAGAGCGAGTGGTCATTCACCAGACGCCTAACAGTGAGGGTGAGGAGCATGAGCACATGGAAGAGGAGGACGGTAGCACAGGCTCCTCTCGAGGATCCCTCCAATGGGTAAGTCAGATCCGACTTCATGAGAAGTCGAAATAATTGGTACAAGATAGCAAAATTATATGCGTTGGGTCATGCAAAAACATACAACTCTAACCTAAGTCTGTCTATAAAGCCTAACCATGTTTGTAACAGAAAACAACTATTTGTTGAACTAAGTTGTTTTCAGGAATGTGTTGGTGAGACACGTTTTCATGAGTGTGTGTTGGTTGGTTTCTAAACACACCCATGGCGCCAAATGTTGGTGTTTGGCTCTGTTTGAAAGAGAATACTAGCGTACTGCATGCTGCAAATTATGTCTTGTGTATTATTTTGTAAAAACTCAAAGGTGTTTGGTGTCACATGACCATGTGATGTTACATGTACAGTCAAGTTCTTTTTATTTCAGTATCATTTTCACAGTGGACATTGTTCCAAAGCAGCATTACAGAAAAATAATGTCTTAAATTTTTAAGACTAATTTCTTAGTTAAATGATTTGTGTGCAGTTATAATCTTGGAAATACATAGGGTTATTTTGCATTTTTATTGTAAAAAAAAAAAACCAACCAAAAAACGTTTAGCTGTTAATTTGTCACACTGGACTGAAGTGCATTGCATTGCATTGTGTATCCCACACAGTCCCAGTCGGCACGTGGCTGACCTTTAATGTTGAAATAGTTGCAATAATGTCAGTTGTTGTTTCAACATTGAAAAAACATTGAAATAACATTTAATGCTAAATGGTTACAAAAAGGTTATCAAAATACTTATAAGTCAGGCTGAAATTCATTCTGTCGAAAAGGTGTTGAAACAATGTCGCAAATCAACGTAAATTCAACAAAATCGAAAAGTGATTCAACCTTGATCCATAAAATTGGTTCACCTGTGGATAAAAACTGAAAAGACATCTGGAAGTGTGTTCTGTATTGTTGTAACATTTGAGGAAATGTAGTAGGTCATTTGAGTTATTCATACATATGCATACAAAAATTAGCATAATGCAAATTCCAAAACAGACTCTTTATGAAGGACCCTTGACCCAAATCAGCAATAA